GCGATGATTATGTCGGGTTCTTGGAGATCAAATAGACATTCGTCAAGCGTTTGAACATCGATTAAAAAAAAATTGGCCGGAGCGCGATTGACTTTACCGACGTCGCTTGCTTCGGTTGCTAAATAAATGGCACGTCGAGCGACTGAACGGCACGCTCCGAGTTTCAGTTTGTCACGGAAGCCCTCACAGGAGTTCAAAGAAAAAGCTTTCACCATGAAGCACTATGTACAAGCGGTCAAAACGATGCGAAAATCCCCAGTAAAGGCATTCTAACTTATCGTTTGCTGAGCTTTGATGACTCCGATATCACAGATGACTCCACTATAACTCTCGGTAGCCCTTGTCTCATTAAACACATAACAGTTAACGCCCAACAAAGTAGCCCTGGACCCTCAACCACACAACATTTAGTTAAACAAGATTGTTAATCTAACGCGTTTAATATTCTTGCCCACAATATTAACTGTTATTTGCGGAAACATGATAGAAGTTTCATGGTAGAGAACAATTTACTAACGTAATAAAATTGAGTTGTGTCAAGCGATGACTGCCGTTGGTGCCGCTCGACCCCAGCAATACAGGCCTCTATTCACGATCTAGCCTCCTAAGAAATCAGTGGTGCCAGTGCTATTAGACATAAATTGTTTATTTGCATCGGTACTCCCATACCTGCCGGATGTAGGGACGAGGCGCAAAACCGTACATCCGGCCTATATTGAAGCCGGTTTTCGGACGATATTGCCTCGACACTCGCCAAGAAGCGGGATGAGGACGATTCGTCACATGCGCACTCGTCACAGGACGATTCGTTACAGGACGATTCGTCACGTAGGAACAATCGTCACAGGATGACTCGTCATGCTGTGACGATAGTAAATCGGTCACATCGATCGGGCAGGCGACGATAGTAAATCGCAAATTTCAACAACTGCCCACATTCCCTGATGAGGACTTTCACGACTTCCCACTGTCACATAAACCAATGGTTAGGAAACTAATCTTACAATGCTCCTCTTCCGCTTTTACTTTCATTATATTACGAGTCTTTAGCAGGTTGACCTCAGTTGCTGGCTTGAAGGAGCAATAATCCGACTGGCAGCTAAATCAGTTTTTACTTTTGCCTTGCATACACCTATTCGACAAAATCAATAAGTATCGGAATTCTTTCTGCTGAATGTGTACGAGTGAATGTGTACAGCCTCTCTCTGTTGCGATCCCCTCCATTATTTTGAATATAGTCCGAGTTCAAAAATAGTCACTCTTATATGGCCTCCGCATTCACCGTTCGGGACGGACCCAGAAGCTAAAACGTCTGTTACAAATTCTTTGACCTTGAGAAGCGAAAGACATGCTAAGATGCGACCCACTTTGTAAGGCCGAACCAACATTCAATGTTCAGGACCGAAACAGAAGCTAAAACCTTTGTTACAAATTCTTCGCCTTTGAGAAGCCAAACACATATTAAGATATGAGGTGAGCCACTTTGTCCGACCGAACCAAATTGAACAATACATTTTTGGGGGGACTAACTATTATGGGACCGGTTGGCCATGTGACGAGTCGTCCTATGACGAATGTTCCCGTGTGACGAATCGTCTTGTGACCAATCGTCCTGTGACGAGTGTACATGTGACGAATGGACCGTATCCCCCAAGAAGCAACGTGCTGTTTCGGCGACTCGTTTGTGTAATTTATTTGTTCAGTCATATATATGGGTCCCGGGCCACTGTGTACACCCCAAAAAAGAAATGTACTGTGGTAATTACACCTTGAGGAGAAGCAGGCACGCAGCCAGAATTTCGGTTAAAGCGGGGGGGGGGGGGGGGGGGGAGGGGGGGGGGTGGCGCCGATGACAAAGTGCTCTATGAGGGGGAGGAAGGAGAGGAGGCCCCAGCAAAATGGAAAATTTCGGAGGGGGGGGGGGGGGCGGAAAGGCCAGGCCTTATGCCCCCCCCCCCCCCTCCCCTTGGCTGCGTGCCTGACGAGAAGGGGTATTGTAGTTTTACATCTTTATAAAAAGGTGTAGGCATCATCATACGTTTTAAGAAACGTGTTTAAAAAATCACACATTTTTAATGGTGTGAAGTTTACATTTTTTTATAAGGTCCATCGCTACACTTATTACGGTGTTAGTTATGGCACACCCCACTTACATGTTTAAAGGTGGGAAAATGCTTAATGCGGATATACCTCTAACGGAAGACAATCTCTTTCATGTGATTACATCGCGTGCCGATGAAACGATCTGTCGATGACACGTCGTTCGATGAACTGATTTGACCGCCAATGAGTGACGACTGCCAGTAGAATTTCGGGGAAATAATTCTGCCGGCTGCCGGGAGACTCGACCCTACCCAAGAATTACCCCGGTTCTTGTTTGTTTTCCAACATTCTGAATTGTATACCAGCTTATTACTACCTCTTCGGATATTACAGAAAAAAATAAAATAAAAAAAAGCGATGGCAGCCGCAAAAACTCTGACAGCCCGGTTCACAGTCATGTGGGAGACTGACAGGTGCTCGTCAGTCGCCACCATGCCTTGAAAGCTACCGGTTCCGAAAAACCGGAGCGCGCAGAGAACTTGTTGTTCCACGGTCCGAGGCGGCGAACGAAGCTCGTCGCAGAGTAAACGCACAAAGGCTTTGGATAGCCGGTACTGTCGCCGAAAGTCGTCGTCGGGGAGTTGAAAGGCGTCCCCAGTGGTATCAGTAGCGACGCCGACGGTGGCGGAAGATGAGCTCGGCCGCAGCGTACGGCACCGCCATGTTGACAAAGTTTAACTTCGCCTCGATCCGAAGCGAAAATCTCGAGCTCAAACCGCGGCTCTCGCAAAGTTCGGAAACGTCACTTTGACGTCAGCGACAACTTCGACAAACGAGGTTTCTTGTTAACACAAACTTCGGAGGGATTTTGAGCGTCAGCAGGTCGCCTAGGGACAATCTGCAAAGCATTGATTTTAGCTTGGCGTAGGGATGTAGGGACAAATGGGCGCTACGTCATCGGCGAAGCCGTTCAATCAGCGGGCTCCTCGCGCCCCTCACGCGCCGCACGCGCGCCTCGATGAACTTTGCTTCGAATGATTGACACCTCGCTCAGCGCGACGTCAGCGGCGCGAGAGTCCAATTAGCGCGTTCCGCAACTTTCGGACACAAAGTTGTGCTTGACGAGTTTAGCGACCCTGGAATTCTAGGTTATTGATATAGATTATAAATAGCAAACAATTTAGAATTGAACCACGTGATACACTTGACGTAGCGGAAACTGAAACATAAACAAGCATTGATGGTGACTTCCGTTGCTTACATTCGTGAAGAAGAAATGCATTCTAGTGGAAACGCTAATATTAAGAAGATAAAGTCACGACTGACAAGGAAACAGCGCACCCTCAAAACAAGCACTCTAAACCTTTCATGCACACAAAAAAGAAAGAGCCACCAACTCAGGCTCTTTCTTTTGTGTGTGCATGAAAGCTTTAGATTGCTTGTTTTGAGGGTGCGCTGTTTCCTTGTCAGTCATGAACAACCAACTCGCCCGAACCTCCGTTTTAAAAGATAAAGCCACACTTTCGTGGGTACCAGCTAGTGAGATTGGGGGAACGTTTGAAGATTACGTTATTTACCTCTCATTTAAACTGACTAGAACCAAACTGGCGACATAAAAATCGTCCAGTAAAGCACTATAGCTCTAGGAATTAAGTAAACGAGATGATATTTCAAGTTAATTTGTACATCTGGGTTAACTCGAAAAGTTTGTTTTAAAGCTACAAAATACAGCTGATGAGCATTCTATGCCATCAGATCAGTGCAGAACAAAATAAATTTACCCGACAGTAGATTTGCCACTTAGCGTTTCGCATGAAGGGAGACACCATGGGAAGTACGGTGCCTAGAACAACGCTATGTTGACTGTCCTATCCCGCCCATGCATCGAGTGTGGTCCTAAAGGGTCAACAAATTGCGTCAGAGGAGCCGGTGTGTCATGCTGTAGGAGGTCGCTATCCCGGCGGTTGGTCTTAGAATTGCTGGTAAAAAAGGCGAGCAGAACCAAGGGTCATTGTCCTCGCGCGGCATCCATCACGTGTCTGCTGTGGTTTCCGTCGATTGTCTGGCTGCAGACTGACCTTCAGCAGTACAAGCGTCTGCCTCATGCACCACGTCTGTCGCTGTGCCACCGCCAGGATCGCGGCAGGCAAAAACATGACACTTTTGTGACGTCATATACTACACGGCGGGGACCAAGGAACCGGGATTTCGCCGCCAACTGCGATTGGTCAGCGGTTCAACGTTGACCAATTGCAGCAGGCGGCAATGCTCGCGTCCCCTTGATCGCGCTTTGTTTCCGCCGTGTAGATTAGAGCGCCAGATGAAAATTGGAGGACCACTCTGCCGCACGGACAGCCCTCGGACGTGTGATAGGCTCGCCACTCCCATCTTTACGGGAACGGAACCTGAGGCACGCTTGCTAAAACCGGCAACACCAACTACCCCTCCCCCGTGCTGTGGGTACATTGGTATTATTTGGGCCGGTCTTTTTCTGATTGGGTCCCAATTCGGTTTGACTACGCCTAGGTAGCCACGGATCTTGCTTTTGACTTGTGTACTTGGTGACAGACATGCTGAAAAGGCCTTCACCGTTTCGGACCATCCTCCTCTGAAAAGGTCTAGCACGACCCAGCCTTCGCCTCAGGATCCCGCCGCTTTGGCTGGCAGGTGTGCTCATTTGCTGCAGAGGAAGACGACACCTACAGAGCAGCTCTTCTACTTTCCACCTTTTTTTCTTTTTTCACCCCCCCCCCCCCCTCCTCCTATAGGCGACCTCCTAGGGTTCTGGCCCCGAATCACTACTTCCGTTTCCTCTATTCAATACCCTCACTACGTGAGAGGTAACTACACCAGTAGGAGACGTGCTCCAAGTATCGTGATGCGAAGTGGTTATTTGAAGGATTTTGTCTGCAGTCCGTGTGACATTCGTACTATTACTTTGTTTTTGGAATTTGCAGATGTATTACCAATACGGAAAATACATACAAGGGCTGGAGGGCGGAACATCAGGCTTCCAGCTGTGTGTCTTCCTGGTGCGTGATTGGCCGTGGCCAAAAGAGTACGAGTTCGGCTGGGAAGGAGGCGAGCGACTTCTCCAGAAAATACTCGGGGTGGAGTCGAAAAACAAAGCAACCGATGAGCTGCGCGACCTGCGCACCTACTTGAAATCGTGCCTCTCTTCTCGAAACTGCTTCCTGATGCCTTCGCCGGGGCTTACCGACGACGGCTGCAGCCTTAATGGGGCAGTTAATGGTAAGGACAGGAATTTCCTTTCAAGAGAACTTGCACCCGTATCGCGAGCCCATCGAGATTTACGGGTCGAACATAGTGAATTAGCTTTTGATCCCGAAATATTACCAGTGACAGGATCATGCGCATAGCATCACCTGTGCCAAATTATCTTTAAATTTAATATTTTAGGCGTACAATTTAGCTTTCTATAGTTTTCGGAGTGCTCATTTGGCACATCCTTATTAAACGGCGTGTCGCAGCGAAAAGAAGCAACATCAGCAACATTTCAGCCTTGTCACGATGCTACTGTTGAGCATGTTGACATACTACCATTTAAGTGCTTTCTATTAGGACACCACATGCCAAGCCAAGCTTTAAACCCTAACCTCTGCTTTCTTAAATCTCCTTCACCGTCAAAAGCATTCTATTGGTTTAGGAAAATTAGTATGGATTCTATAAGAATGTAAGTCTTGTTTTATATTTAGTTTTGTTTTGTGGTATTTCCGTCAAGTTCCTTAATGACCTCTTTTGCTTTCACTACACCTCAGAGCCCTTGTTTTACTTAACCAAAACAATCAAACTGGTTATGGGTCATCTGATTTGTCGGTTACATGTATGCGGACCTTAACGATAATGGAATGAATTGAACTGAAGATACACGCACGCATCGCGGTCACTCTTCACTGAAAGCGAATCCGGTGACCTAAATATTACCCGTTTTTAACTGCGGAAAAGTTTGTCCTTTGACATATGAGGCATGCTTCTAAGGCGGATCGATGTGATAAATATCAGAATGGCTCTTAACCTAAAATGTCTCTCGCAACGTAAATGGTAGAAAGATTTTTTTTATTTTTTTATTTTTTTTTTTAGCGAATGTGTTTTGTCTAGGTACAAAAAAAAATCCGGTTTGAGGAGTTCAATGTTCCTTTAGATAAGCTCCTCGCACGGATCACGGTTTTGTAAATTTGACTGAACTGAAAATTGTTCAGCCATACATATTCTTAAAATTTTCTCTTTTTTGTTCCAATCCAGGTTCCTTTGATAACGGGTGCTTTTACCAGTTTTGGGTTAGCTTTTTGGTCATAGGGTTGTATAGTGGGCACAGATCGGGGCGATGAAGAAAAGCTCACCGGAAATAAGCTCGCCGCAAAACTGTCTGATCCGCAGAAATGATCACCGGCGTTTCGACGGGTGCAGAGAAAAGGTCACCAATGAATCTAAGAATCGTATGTCCCCTCAAGTTAAATAAATACGTTCACCCAACTGAAGTATGCTGAGATGCTTCATGCGCATACGCATACACTCGCAGAATATATTTTTGAAGTATAAAAAAAAGGCGTGTAACACGTCAGGCGTTTTCCGACGAAAATGAGATGACCAATTTGAATAAAATGCTAATTAAAAATATTACCGGGGGATTATAACTAGGGTAGAGAGCTGAAGCTTGAGTATCTTCTGAATATTTTGTTTATCAAATGACCTGCTATGTAGTTAACCGACCCCGGATAGCCAAAGCTCCACATTCCACCATTAGTTCAAGAAGCAGTGGTTTCAATTCCCACTAGACACGAAAAAACAAAAAAATGTCGTATTTTTTTTTTGGGGGGGGGGGGGGGGGTTACTTTAGTATTAAATTTGATAACACTCGTGCGAAATCGGTTTACATAAAAGCAGAAGGGGAACTACAGCCAGGGAGGAAAATCAAAATCAAAATGACTTAAATCATGATTCAAATCTGACAGAATTTACTAGGATGATATAAATCAAACGTTTCACGCAAAACGAATGCGAACAATATATTCGTTTTAATTTACGGTTTGGGTACTATTTAATGCTTTCCATAGCTGCATATGTTTTGTATTTAAATAAAAAATTCACCATGCAAGAAAGCTTTATATTGGAATGAACAACCAAAAAGCAGTTGTCTTTGGAGCAAATCGATGCGTTGAGCTTTATTCCTACCCCCGAGCTCGTGCCTCAGTTACGCCACATATTTGTGCAATCAAATCGGAACGCAAAATATAGAAACGAAAACTGGGAAAGTAATGTTGTATTGAAAGAAAATCATATCGCGAAAAAAGCCAGTAAAATTTTTCTGAAAAAACAAAAGAAAAAAACGAACATAATCCATGTGCTCTGTGTTCTAGTCTGGCGGAGTTTTCATGAACAAAATGTTGTTAGAATTGCAGCAATTCTTTTTTCCGCGTTGTTTTCGTTGATCGGAAGATTATTAATGTATTCTAGCTACAGTGATATTGGTCTGACTTAAATAAAATAAATCTGAATTATATAAATATTATCATGCAAGTAAATGAAAAGGTGAGAGCGAGCTGGACAAAAATGACGAAAAGAATCCCTGGAGAAGGGTAGAGCGCTCCACTGGAAATGGAGAGGTTCGATACCCAGACCAGACGAATTTTTTTCGGTCGCGCACCAGTCATCCAGTTGTGTTTGGAGATTTGTGTTCGTCCTTTGTCCCGCTTGTTCCCCTTCTCCAGAGATTATTTTCGTCGTTATATAATTATGGCGTTTTTCATCTTTTTTTTTTTTTGCCCACAGCAGTGCGACCTGATGTAAAGTGCGTGCACTGCCTGACACTGTCGGATACACGAACAATGCGCTTTTTGCCTTTCCATTCTTGCGATTTCTATCAAAATTACTAGTGCGATAGAAATTGCTCATTCTGGGGACAAACTTTGGTGACAAAAGTTCGACGCTGATCAATCCGTAAAATGCGAAAAATCTCTTCGCGCTAACGTTGTTGCACGGTGTACCGCCTGTGTTAGAGGCGCCTAAAACCTTGGTAGCACTACTGCTACTAAATAATAACGACCACTTTCCTTAATGATTAAATTCGAGGTGAGCCTTTCTCTGGGTCTGTCAAAAGATTGTGGAGCTTTTCTCCGGACCTGTATAAAAGTTGGCGAGCTTTTCTCCGTCGAGCTTTTTTCCGAGGTTCCACAGATCGTACCTCCTATACAATTTGTGTGCTTTCTTAAACAAAGTAAATATTTCGCATAGGAGTCAAGCATAAATACATAAATAAATATATAAACATAAATGCGATCAAACAAGGAAGCCCTGCGGATGAGTCTAAAGCAAGGTTTTGTCCGTAATAATTCAATTCTTGATTGGATACTGAGGTTGTTAAATGGCACGCTCTATGACCAATCCTGCCTTGCATTTCATGGTGACAACAATAGAACCTGACCGAGACGTACCTTCAAGACACGTCAGGTTTAATACTTCGAAAATGCTAAAAGAAACAAGAGTGCGAAAAGATGTAACTTCACCTGTACGGGGTTGAGAAGGAGGTGCTCGGTTACTAGCTTATCCAAGCTCGGGAGTTGGCTGGCTCATGGGATTAAGTCCTGATTACGGGGACGAAAGTGCCTCGGAATTACCCCACCTGAATCGATTACCGAGCATCAGCTGTCAAGCCCCAGACCAAAACTAAACTCACTTGCTGCGTTTCCACTCAAAATCACTCGTCGGTCCATCCCCTTTTAGTGAACCGGCGAATCCGTGACGGTTCGTCGGACAGGCGCTTCCCACGGGCCGAAAGGCCAAAACCAATATGCGCACCATCTCACCTTACATTCCCGTGTGAGACCCCATGGTCTGCGTATACCTCACGGCCAAAAGTCAGGCGGGCTCAAATCCAAGCGCTCTACAGCAGGCGAGTCAGAAAGCCGATCCCGGTGTGGAAAGAGCCGATTGAGCCATGCCGCAATCAATTCTGCAAGAAGAGGTCTGACGTTGCCGTTCTACCATGACCCCCAACAGGCGGGTGAGAGAGACTACACCAATGTAAACGATTCCAGCCAGAGCCACCCTGTTCTCCCGGCCCGAAATGCGCGCTCCGATTCTCTCGGCAGATAACGCGGGTTCCGAACCCGCGCAATAAAGCACCACCTGTCTCTCGTGGTCGCCCATCACGGGAAGTGCTTACACCAGTGCCTTCCACCGGCCAAGTCCCTCTGGTGCTAACGACCCATCCGCGAAGCCCTCATCGATCCTTAGAAATCATTTTTTTTTCGACTTTTGACCGCAATTACCCTTTAACGGCCAGTGGTATTCGAGTGGCCGTACTTTGTCGTATTAGTGCCCAGTTACCATAATACCCAATACGAGAATACTTCGCTTTTTTTTTAGTAATCTGGCTGGCACTTACTCCGCAAATTTAACTTTCCAGCGTGTTCGGTCCTTAGGGTGTTACAGCGGCTTAGCCAAGAATATTTTTATGAAGGGAGAATGTTGCTATGGCCAGGATGTCCAGGGATTTGGGGTGCGGCGAGGGGAAGGGGTGGGGAGAGTAATATATCTGTATGCTATTGTATCTCCTGGATTTTAAACAGGAAGAAGACTCTTGCCCCCCCCCCCCCCCCCCCCCTTCTCCTTTACATCGGCTACGCCTCGGGTGATTTGTGCTGAGTTGTATATAAGGTCATTTTGCTTTTGAAGGGTAGTACTTCAATGTGAATAGTTTGACAACCAAGTCGGAGGAAACTGAAGTAATTGGAAATTTTCCAGCAAATGTTGAAACGGATGTTAGGACAATACTTATACATTGTAGGTTAGTTACAGATCCTTATTCAGATGATCCAAATAGTGAGCTCATGGTAAAAATAATTTACTCTTACACGTATTTCCCAAACAAAGAGCCGAATTTCTGGCTAGTAGATAGTCCAAATCCGATGGAAAAAGTTGAGATACAATACAGTGAGATCAAGGATTGTTCTATAAAGTTATAGACCAAGATAATAGGCAAATTGATAGTAATAATTAAAGGTATTGAAGTAATCTTCATATTTATTTTAAATAATGATATGTTCAAAGATTAAATATGTCGGTCATTAATGATTCAAAATCAAATTTGATTCATAAGATTAATTTGTTTTATTATATCCCTAAGATCGATCCCACTTGTTATTCCAATCTTGTTTATCAATACATTATTCTGGGACAGGGATGGGCAGTATTTCAATTACAAGTATTTGAAATACGTATTTCAAATACTT